TTTAAGAGGCAGGGTCAAAAAAGTTTAGCTAACCTTGCTAACCAACGGTCTTTCTGAAGGAAATACTCCTTCTGTCACAAAATACTTGTCACAAATTTTAGCATTTTGCCGAGATTTCGTTAATTTTTAGAAAAGTGAAGCCACACTTTGGACCGCTGACGTAAGCTACTCATGTTCGACTCGCGCGTTATGCCAACACTTCCGGTAGACCGCTTCTTCGTTGGTGTTGTTTCAGCGGTTTCTTCTTCCGCTCGGCGGACTGTGAATATCGAAACTAGGAATTGAAATTTTAAACTTTGAACGATTCCGGGAAAAACGAAAAGTTAGTCCCGGTTCAATCGATACTCGATTCTCGATACCCAACCCTAATGGGGAGGCTAGTTTGTTTTCCTCCAAAAGTGGGCGTGAACCTATTCAGACATTCTATGACGCAGCGCCGGTTGTGCGTATAAAGGCCTTCTGAAGCAAAGTAATGAGATTAAGTAAAATTAATATTTAAAACTTTATAAAGGAAAATAACTAGCTTCCAGCCCAAAAAACATACAGATTCCACTTAGGCCTACGTGTAAAGCGCAACTTTTGCGACATATTGCTGATATTTACGCTACGCCATGTCGCACTATGCTACTTCCGGCTTAATACATTTTGTAAGCTGTCATTATAAAAATGTAAAATTTGGAAGAGCCACAATATATTTTTTAACCCGTTAAGATCTGTGAATATGCGATGAGATGACTAAATGCCTGTGAAGAGACGACTCAACGCCAGCGATATGTTATGCCCTAAATTAATACATGATTGACTAACTGTTTTTTTCTATGTACATTTATGAAATGCACCTTCTGTAAAGCTGCTTTGAAACAATGTTTTGTGAAAAGGCTATACAAATAAATTTGAAAATGCTAATTAGCCACAAAGAGTGGTTGAAAATGGTTACATTTTTTAAGTAATATGATTATGAAATGATTTAAATTAAACCGCTTTTATATGTAATCTGACCCACTTATTTAAAAAATAATATGAATGTTTTCAAAACTCTCTACAATGACCATTTGTTGACACTAAAGTAAAGAAAACTTCATTTTACACTAAATTCTTTGGAAAGTATCCTCTATATTATTTGCTGACGTTATTTCAGCGCTCTTGCGAATTTTCTAACTACGTCCATTATATCTGATGACCTGCTTTGAAGATGCATGACCTTAATGATCTTCAGCATCATTAATGAAGAATCAAGAATAAACACCAACCTCTTTGTTCTTCAGTATCTTCATCTTTTATTCTGCAGGGATCTGGATCACTCATGTTCTCGGTGTTCCTCTTCTTCACTTGTAGACTGATGGGAATATTCCAGCATTTATCGGTGAATTGTTGAGGGGTATTCCTGTGTAGAAGGAAGAGCAGATCATTTTAACCCTTCAAGGTCTAAGGGGTTTTAAGCTGGCCTGGCACTATATTGATATTTTGGTTTCTGGAATGGTCAATTTTCATAGCAGAGTGAAGTGAGTCATATTTTTGGATTCTATAGATACATTGTCAATACACTTCTTGAGACATTTATATGTGTTCTAAATTGGAATGTAAACGGTTAATCGATTATTGATTAATTGTCGACAAAAGTTCACTCGATTAAATTAAATGAATTGTCGGCTAACTTAAAGATTGTGAACGTGACACGAGATTCTCACACGAGAGACCCTAACCTGGAAAAGCGTGCTAACCTCGAAGATCCAGCTGTATTCCCACAATAACTTAGCTCTCCTTATTAGCTAGGCTAATCGGTGTTCCGTGAGAGAGCGAGAGAGGTACAGTTAACCTAAAACCGTATTCTGGACAAATGTGGGCAAAATAGTTTTGATTTATTTTTAAAAAATACTTCCTTGATCTGAGCGGTACAAGACTTGGCTACTTTTCCTAAGTTTGCCTCCTGAACACACACACATGTTTTTTTTACTCATTTCTACAATCTTAAGTGGGTGAAAAAAAAAACCCTCCTTAATCTTGTATTTGGCTCAAAAATGGGCACCCATAGAAATGAATGGGAAAAACTGCAATTTAGAGCATTCTAAAATAAGCCAAAATAAGACACCAGGTGACGGCAAAGTCACTTCATCTTTAGGTTTAGCTCTAAGAACTTATTGAAATTATATTTTAATGTACTTAAAAAAAAATGAAAAAACAAACCATAACAATTAGCATAATTTACATTAAAAATATGGTACTTTAAGTAAAAAAATTCAAAAATACCCCCAAAATTAAAATAAAAAAACACCATAAATGGATAGACAAAACTTTATCGAAGACAGTGATAACATTACATTTATAATAAATTAAAAGTAGGATCACACCTGAGTCCTCTGTGCCCACAATTGTCCACAATTACAGGATTAAGGGCTATAAAGTGAATGCGGTTTGAGGGCTACGTGACAGGTAGCGCTACACGAATGCGCTACGGCGCTCTGCAATCAAACATACGGGACATTTAACATTTAGTTGAACTAGATAAATGCCATTATCTGTACCATATCCCAACTGTTACTGTTAGAACATCAATTGAGCAATATAACATGCAATTCTATTCAGTATATAAGCAATATTTTGCTTTTTATGTTAATTAATGAATTAATCGATAATTTACATCACTAATTCTGATGTGATGCATCACCAAGAAACACAAAAACAGAAGTTCCTTTTTTTGGTTTTTATTATACAGAACAACAGATTTTACAACAAATATTTTTTCCTCAAAGGCTCTAGAACTTCAAAAAAAAATTGGGTGAAAAAATATAACTATTACTTTTCTTTGACTGTAGTCACCATATGTTCCTTTTTTCTTTTTTTCTTCTTTTTTTTTGAAAAACACAGAAATAAGAAAATATAAAAGGGAACAAAATGTTCATTTGCTTTTCATCAGTCGTTCTTTTCTCACATGTTGTGCCACATATGAAAGCAGTTGCGCTCCGGCTGGAGGCAGAGCGGCACATCACACTCATTGCATTTCCACGAGGTGTCTTTTCTTGGGAGCCCATCCGCCTTACATTTCTCACACCTCAGCCTAGCAACAGGAATTGAGATAGGCACAGGTGTATGTCCAGTTCTCCTCTGCACAGGCACGGTGCCGACCGTGACGCCACACAGCTCGGCCACGAGCTGCTCCACGTAGGCCCTGTGGGTGATGAGCTGGTTGGCTGGGGTGTTCCTCAGCTTTTGAAGTTCTCTGTATATTATAAAGCCATTGGTCACAGCAATGTCAATAAAATGAAAAAACATGGTTCGGTACCATCTTCTGGTCGTGTGGTGAGCCGAGTAGTACTGTATCAGCTGGTCTGATAGGTCCACTCCCCCCATGTACATGTTGTAATCAACAATCGGTTTTGGTACTGGTATGTTTATCTCCTCCCAGGATCCATCCTTCTTTTTCTGGTTCCTCTTGACAGTGTCCCCATCATAAGCAACATGGACACTGCTGCACATTGCCACCTCCCTGTTGTCCATCCACCTGGTGAAGAGAAGGTCATCTTCTCTTATCCACCTGAGAGCTCCTCTAGGGGATTTCACAGTCAGTTGGTTTATTTTTGTATTCGGAGCGTCCTTCCTCCCCTCACGTATGGTACCACAGGCTCCAAAATGGAGGGACAGCAAGTGTCTGAAGAGTTTTGGGCTGGTGTAAAAATTATCACAGTAGAGGTGATAACCACTGCCTAAGAAAGATGGCCTCATCAATTCCACCACAGAGTCAAACGGGAGCCCTAGCCCAGAGATCAACCTGCTTTTACCTGTGTATATGTTGAAGTCACAGGTATAGCCATTACTGGCGTCTGCCAGCACAAACAGCTTTATCCCCCATTTGGTAGGTTTCGCTTTCATGTACTGGGTCATCTCAGTTCTTGCCTTGGTGGCCACCATCCTCTCATCGATGGAAACCTGCTTCCTGGGATGGTAGGCAGACTGACAGGCGGTCTTTATCTCAGTCATCAATGGCTTCAAACGAAAGAGTGTGTCATACTCATCTGGCCGAGTGTGCCTCTTTTTGTCATTCACAACATCTTCCTCCGGGTCACTCATATGGATATTCCAAGATATGGCGCGGAACCGATCCCTTGACATGACCGTGTTCGGAAAATTCACAGAAAAAATGTTTTTTCTCTTCCAATAGTCACTTATGGCCGGGAGCTTTAGAACTCCCATGAACAAAACCAAGCCGATGTATTTCAACATCTCTGCAGGGTTGATGGTGGTCCACTTGTACCTTTTCCCATTAGCAATGTTTCTCTCGGCCAGCTTGTTTGTGTTGGCACACAACGTCCTGATTGATTGAGCACTGAAAAAGTGCTTGAAAAGGCAGAGGGGGCTTTGCTCTACAGAGGTGTCCAATTGCACTCCAGGTTGCCGTTTGGGGCAAAACCTGTGGAGAACGGGGGCCACATCAGGATCCTTTTCAGTCTTCCATACTTGATCCGGCTGGTTTGGTGTTGCTGGACTTCTGAAAGATGAACGTGACTTGCCTACTGGGGAGCCAAACCGACTCTTTGACTCAGAGGGCCTCCTTCCGCTACGATGCAACTTCAAGGGAGTGGTCGCAGGCGATCTTGGTGACCCCGTGGCAGAGCTGGAGGAGCCGGGTTGAGGAGGAAAAATGGATCTGCGGGCTGCACGAGGAGACCTAGATCTGTGGGCTGCACGAGGAGACTTAGATCTGTGGGCTGCACGAGGAGACTTAGATCTGTGGGCTGCACGAGGAGACTTAGATCTGTGGGCTGCACGAGGAGTAGAAGCGGTGCTGTGTGAACTAGCGGTCGGGGTCCCCGATTCAGCTGGTGTACTCGGCTGCTCTGTGGTTTCCTGATTTAGACTAAAACACACAGATTTTGTCATTAGTTTAGATTCACACATTTCAAAAGTTGTACTACATTTTTTTATAATGAAATAAAGATTAGCTATTCATCATCATGTGTGCATTTTTTTCATCCAAGTCATAGGACTTCTAACTACAAAAAAATGATTACTTGAGCCTTCATCATAGTGTTATATGCACAGAGTAAATACAATGTCTAAACCAAACCCATGTAGACAAATAGTACAGGCCTTACTGTACGTTCACACCACCGCCGCCGTAAAAAAGTACGGGGAAGCTTGTTGACGTTTTGACGTTGCAGGGAGAATAGAAGTGTCAACATGAAATGTTATAAACAGAAAAAAACAAGCAATACATAAAGAAAACTTTTATAATGACAGCATTTTTATAACCGCTTTGGTCACATTTGGTCGGGAAAAAAATAGTTAGCTTTTATTATTATTATTATTATTTGCGGCCAAATCGGTGTCACCGTGAGCAAATTAATTGCATTCCCGCTTTAAAACGAGCGTTCGTAAATATTTCAAATAAAAGTTGCGCTCATGCGGTCCAAATAAGCAAACAACGTCCTGTCATAAATGATACGAAACCAGTAGGAAACCCAGCAATGGCGATTATTAGCTTCTCTTCCATTAACTCGGAACTAATGTTTTGGTAGGAACGAAAGTTTACATTGTGTATTTCTCCGGAATCAGCCAGCGTGAAGGACGTCTATATTCCGATTGGTTGCTGCCGTTTTGCCGCTGAACCGCGTCACAGCTCATTACCATAAAGTTTAGCTTGTTTCAACTTTCTGATTGAAGCTCGAAAACGCTCAAAACTGCCAAAACGCAACGCTGATGGATTTGACGCTCTTTGCAGCTGAGAAAAGCCAGCTTCTGTTGAAAATGAATGACTTCCGGCCACTTTGGAAGCTCAAGTTGGCGGCGGTGTGAACGTACAGTTAGATAAGGCTTACTGCACCATTATTTCTGAAAAACTAAAATAAAATTTCCATAAAAAACGTTACAATAAAATAGACAAAAAAGCCAAGTAAACAAAATAGCTTATAAATGAAGATGGACTACACACGGACAAAATGTGCACATTATTTTATGGCACACAATATTTTATTACTGCTCCGTTATTTCTGGGATGCGTAAATAAAATAATTTTACTAAGAAAAATGATACAATAGCCAAGGCATATATATTAGACAATATATTAGCAGCAATATTGCATTCATAACTACTTACTCCTCAACTGGATAAATTACGTCCAAGAATTGATCCTCTTCACTCGAATCAAACCAATCTGGATCAGATCCGTTCTCGCTCTCAGATCCGTTCTCGCTCTCATCGCTGTCGTCAAAAAACAGTTCAGCAACTTGCTTGGAGTCGGCAGTGAGTCTTCGTCGCGCCATATTCGTCTTTGAAAATAATCAATTGCCAAGTACAAATAAGCATTTCTCCAAATGTGCGCGTCCAAAGACCATGTATGAAAGATTGCGTCAGCAAACAATTTAGGAATCACACCTGGAATTGTTTCGAAACCCCTCCCCTTTTTTTTTCATTCCTAGGACATCTGACATCATTTTATGTTTTTGGTCAGTGACTGGTTCACACACAGGTCTGTGATTGGTTTACACACACCAACAGCATTTTACATTATTAGATAAAATAAAGTAGGCCTACAATTTCTTTGTTTTGCGTAAAATGCTATAGATTTGCACTAAAATACGGAAGGCTTATCATTCGTTTAATAAATGTGTCAGGGATGCGCACTTTGACGCTCTAGACTGTCAGTCGACTTAATTTTAAGCATTTAAATTGTGTGTATCCATCTTTCAAAAAGGTAGGTTTGTTATTGTTTGTATTATTAAAACCAATATATTCTACATGTTTAAATTTTGCCTGTGAGACTATCAATTTACACAATATGCATTTTCATTCTCGTATGTGCAGTACAGTCATAAGAACAACCAAATAATGAAATTATGAAAACATACTAGTTAAAATAACAATCCAAGTGATTCAACTTGTCATTTAGCAGTTTTTATTCACTGATTTTAAGTGTTTTATTGCTGTTAAGAATTATTTTGTACTTCAAAAGAGTCAAGTGTGTTTTGTTTTGCTTGCCTTAATTTGTTGTGTTGGATTTGCCGTATCGTTGTTTGTAGAGTAACCAATTGATAAAACCCCATGGGGCAAGAAACGATTAATAGGCTATTAAAATTTCTATTTCTTTTCAATTATTAAAATTAAATGATGTTCTTTGCCTGACTCTAAACAAGTTTTTTTTTTTCTTTGCAGTTCCCACTGATGCAAATTCAAAGACCTCATCATTAAATGTTACTATGATATGTTGAAATAGTATTCTGTAAATAAAAGGAAATAAAATAGCCTAGGTAAAACAAACAAATGGATGTAGTGAGGGATCTTCGTCTGCTTTGCCCTCCAGCTGTCAATCAGAGTCAGTAAATCAGCGAGAGATCTTGTAGCTGGCGCGACCTTGGGTGACGTGACGCGACGCGCACTCCATTATGAACAAAAAGATGGAATCGATTTATTCAAATACATGACTTGGCCTTAAAATTATGCTTTTTTTTTTTATGTATTACATAATTTGATGTATGCATACCCAGGATGCTTATTTTCTGTTAGGTACTGTTTGTTTGTTTGTTTGTTTGTACACCTTGCCTTACTTCCCTGTGTTGGTATTTTTGTATAAGTTCTGCAATAAAAAATAAAAAAAATAAATAAATAAAAAAAAAAAGATGGAATCAAGTATAAGATGATCATAAATAGGTAAATAAGAGCAGGATTGCACTGTTGTGTATGCACGAACCGTCAATGATTATAAAACCTCATAATGATCATAAAAGTAAGTGTAAGCGAAATTAAATTGTGTCCGCGCTTAAGATCGCTTCCATGCGTTCACAGTCACATTCGGCAACAATAATACCCTATTATCGCAACAAACATCGAAAAACACAAACAAAGAAAACACACACACACCATCCTGATTTTAACACACACTAGTGTGTCCTGCTAAATGTTAATTTCCGTCGACAGATGCCAAAAAAAGACGCACATATTGAAAAAATACATAAATCACTCTTTTAAAAGGCTTCTTAGGGGTTATTGTGCAGTTTATAATTATATAAATATACGTGACACCATAAACAGCAATTACCTCGTCAGAAGCTTCTTCTTCGTCTGTTTCTATGGCTGTTAGCAAACCAAACTAGCTTATTATGTGCTTTACCGCCACCTATTGAACGGGAGTGTGGATCAGAAGAATTGGCGGAATGCAGGGGAAGAAAATATATAATTAGCAATAACCTTTATACTCGCTCCATCAGACCTGTTTCTTTCAAAAAGTTTAGTTTAATTTTTTCTAGTGCTTCTTTTAATTCCTTCCTTTCCTTTTCTATCAACACATGTTGGACAGATTGGTTGATTGCAAAGTAAACACATGACCATTAATGTCTTGTTGAGCCCTGTATGAGTGATAATCCTTTCTTCACTTTGATTTTCACTCAGCTCCTATCCATGCCAATTGCCAATTAGCTTTTGGATACCATACAAACGTCTTCATCAGTAGTAGATTCGATGCGATTCGATTCGATCCGATCCATCATTCGATGACTGATGGATGTCATCACTGCAATGCAACAACGCATGTTATAAAAAAAAGGCTGTGTCCTAATGGACCACTTGCACTGAGCTTCGAGGCGCACTTCCATTTGGAAATAGTATATATAGTATCTCACTTATTTCCGGTTATGTTTACGTTCAATATACGTCACCTAAAATTAGTGTCCGCAATAAGATTTTAAAACGCTGTGTATGTTATTGATTAAACTCCATCAGCTTGAGATGTTCAGTGAGCATTACAGCATCTCAGACAATATAATAAACTACTGCAAGTTTATATGAGACAGACACCACTAGAGGGTGATATAGACAACATTTAAAATCTGTGCATGTTTGCACACGTGTTTGAGACGCAGAGGGTGTGCAAAACGTGCTGAAACGCTGCATGGGGTACAAATGAACCCTTGGTCTAATGGTACTAGAAACTAATGTAGTGTTCTCAATGCCAAGTTTCCATGAGTGAGAACAAAGCGTCAACTGAGAAGCAACGGAATACAAAACAGTTCAGCTACAGTTCCCACAGTGTATGTTCCTTGTCCACTGTATGCAGTTTATTTTGTAAATCATGATTTGATGGACTCATAAAGTGTTAGACGCACTTTGAACATTAACTTCAAGAAAACTACTGTTATGATAAACATTAAAAGAAGATGTCAGTCTCTTTGTTGAACAGGAAATAGTGGCCTTCCAGAACCCAAAGTGTCAGAAGATCTCTAGATAGTGTGAACGAGTGGTTATAGAAATGAAATGAAATAATGTACAGCTTACATGTTTATCAGATGCTAATGGGATTCTGTGCTTAAAAATCAATGCTGTGCTGAAATAATCTATATCTATTTAGCCTTACCGTCACAAAAACACCCGCCAGTGGATTCTGTGATATATGTTATGGAAATAAAAAAAACATTCAGATGATCAGTTATCGGGCTGTAAAATCTAAAGAGAGTTGTTTTTCACGCTGAGACGAAAATTACAGGAAGGAGATGTGCAGTTCAGGAAGAGCAGAAAACCACAGTCCCAGCTCACAATCTTTAGGTTTTTGTCTATGAAAGAGCTGATTTTTCCCTGATGCTCATTTAGCTACAGTAAAGATATCTTAAATACTGATATATCCACACTGAATACGTTAACTATTCTGCTGAACTCATCACTCGAGCAGAGAGGGCGGGCAAAGTAACCCGAAATCTGGAAATCTGGGAACTGAAATCAAGAACTAGTGTTTTGGATTATCTTTCACTGAAAAACATCAACACTGAAGAAAAATACCTTAATCGACTAGCGTTTCCTAGACGACAACGTAGTGTTGAGACGATTCATGCTACCTATCGAGATTTGCTACTTACCGGTTATGCGCATGTGCAGACTCACAGTTTTTATTTATTTATTTATTTTTTACAAAAGGTACATTTTCCTGTTTTAATGTATAAGTTCCCTTTAAAAAATGCTTACTACCATATGAATATTTGTACGGTCAGCCAGCTGAATAAGAATAACTGAAAGTTTCAGTTACTATGAGGAAAGGTGTACTTTGACAAGTCAAAGATGAATATTTTATGATAATTTTTTACTTTTCACACCGTTTTAAAAATAAAAACAGTAGTCTACAGTATACAGTAGCTACTCATAACTTAGAATTGTATTATAATTGTATTTCATATGACTTTAATCGGCATTCTGTGATCAATTCGCGCTACGGTAGCATTTTTCGACAAGGCAGCAAAAATAGACAGAACACCGGCCCACCTCTGGTACATGTGGGATACTATGTTGCTGTCTGTGTTGATTTTGTGAAAAATTTTAATAATAAACACACTAACTTAACACCTTTGACTAGGATCAACTTCAGGATCCATCAAAATCATTGTTTGTTTTAAACGTAGGCTTATATTTAGTATTTAAAATGTTCAATTATTATGGCCACGTATTTTAGTAGGCATGTTTGTCAGAAATTGTTGGTCTTTTTCTCTAAAATTTTCATTTTAATTCAGCCAGCATCTTTGTACAAACACCACCTGAGGCTACAGACAGAATTAAAACCATATACCGATTATTTCTATAATGGGCCGCTGTGGATTTTTTGCAATGATCAAAGGCATATAAAAAAATACATAAGGTATGGTTTACTTTAATATCCCTTATTGGTTTCACAGCCAGCAGTAAACCATACAATCATGCCTTCACAAAAATTGTTCTTTGGTTTCACTTTACATAAAGCAGATCTTTTGTGTAACTGTAGGGCAATACCACTCACACCCTCTCTTTGTTCGGCCATATGAAGACGATCTATCGCAGATGTCACCATCGATGACCCATTGTACCCGTTTTAAAACTACAGCGCCTCATTGCTGAGACGCTGAACAAAACATCAGCGCAGTTTCCGCTCGGCTGCCTGAAGGTCTGTAGGTTTGCAAACACATACTTGTGATTAATGAAAGCCTGGATTCAATATCCCAGATCAAACATCTAATGCATCCATCATAAACCTCTAAAGCAGAAGTAATGGATTTGTGGATTTGTAAATTGGTCATGCTGCCATTGGTCACATGCTTTTTTCGAGGGTGTTTACAGGATGTGGCTTGTTCCAGTTAGTCTATCATAAGTCAAATCCACCAATATAAAACACACAAATCAAAAGTTTATCTTTTCAAATCTGAACTTTAGGAATAAGGCATATGGCATTGGCTCACATTCAAGACTCATTTTCAAGATAAAAACATCAATGTAAAAAGCTTTTTAAATGTTTATTTAAAGGAAAAAAAATAAAGTTATTCATGTGCTCACCAGTATAAATCATAAAGTATTAGTTTAGATAAAGCAAAACACTTCAAAATAAGGTTTCTTTCATTTGTTTTAAAATAAAATATAATAATCTACAAATCAATAAAAAAAATTAATATACGTTACTGTAAAAAAAAATTGTTAATGACAAAAGACAATTCAGGTTTCTGATTCATTTCTGTCACAAATTGAGCCTTTTATTGCATGTTATAGTTAATAAATTGATTTTATAGGTTTAGGAGAAAGTTTTTAAAGTGATATACAGTGTGTTTTCATGATTTGACCACTTTAATATTCATAACTCATATAAATA